GCGGACCCATGGGGCACGCAGGTAAGTTGCACATCTCCAAGAACAGATGCGATTCTTCAAGTTCAACATCATGGCCATCCAAGAGGCCCGGTCAGAAACAGGCATGTCACAAAACAATGGGATCCTACGATTTTGCAGTGGCCATTGTCAAGGTAATGGTAATGGAGGCATTGAGATCTGGATTGATCTCCACATGCCCTTTGCCTTGAACCACTTGCACAAGCCGAGACTCTTCAAGAGATCGCATTTTCAGCTCGTGCATGCTGATCGGAGTAGAATGGTGCTTCGATGTGACACAGAATGTTGGTCCTTTTGGCTGGTGGCTTTACATGCGCCACATAGTGGTCACAGCCTGAACAGCAGAAGTGACTGGTGGCAATCTACTCATGAGCTTTTAGCCCAGCATCATGATGGCGATCCGCTGTTTATCCTCATGGACGCAAGTGCTGTGCCAGGAGACGCTGATGGACAAGTGGTTTTACGCACGGGGTTCACAACCTCTGTCAACACCAAGGACAGGCGCACACTACTTGAATCCCTGCAGCTTTATCTTCCAGCCACCAGTGAAGTGCACCAAGGTGAACATGATACATGGACCAATTTCACGGGCAGCTCAGCTCATTGCATTGATCACATTGCCATCCCGCAAAGCTGGTCTACGAGATGTTCACATTCACAAGTCATCCAGGAGTTTGACATGGCTACGACTCATGAAGATCATAGAGCGGTTGCAATTCAGCTTCAATGGAAAGGTATTGGCCCAGTAAGGGACCCTCAAAGTTCTCACAAAAGATTTCGAGGTGATCAGCCCTTTGTCAACGGCCCCAACTTCAGCAACTACATCTTGGATTGCCCACCACAATTGTGGCAGACTGATGTGGCCACACATACGGCCCGTCTGACTACATATTTGCACGAGATTCTGAATGTTGGGTCTACTCCGGTGCAGCCACAACCCAAGAAGTGTTATATCTCAGACGAGATCTGGCACATGCGACAGAACAAGATTGAGCTCAAGAAACAGATCAAGGCCACGAGACAAAGAATGACCTTTACGAGGTTAGCCAGCTGCTTCGCCGCATGGAAGTCAGGCCGATGCAGCCCTCACCATGATGAAGAACGCGGCTATGATGTATCTCTGCGGTGCAGCGTGCTTCGACTCAGTACGAAGCTCTATGTGGTCTGCAAACAGATGAAAAAGAGTCTGGTCCAGGCCAAGCAAATTGCACTGGAACTACGACTCAAAGAAGTCACGGAGACATCTGCTGCTGAAGTCCTCCGTAGTTTGAGACAGTTCACTGGTCCCACCAATCCAAGGAAGTGCAAACGCAAGCCACTCCCCATTGTCAAAGATGAAGAAGGAGTGATATGCAGTCTGCCTACTGATGCCTTGAGTGTGTGGATCAGGTTCTTTCAGCACATGGAAGGAGGACAAAGGATGCCGATGGAAGAACTACGCAAAATCTGGGTAGATGAGTTAGAGATGTTCCAACGTGAAGAAGTTGTGTGCATGGCAGACAACCTGCCTACTCCCACTGACCTGGAAGTTGCACTTCGCAGGATACCGAAGGGGAAGCAAGAGGTCCAGATGGCATTCCAGGTGAACTATGTCACTATATATCATCCATCTGCGATTGCGAAGTTGCTCTTCCCTACGATGATGAAGATGATCATACATGGACCCGAACCTTTGGAGTTCAAAAGTGGGCGCCTGACGGAGGCTTGCAAAGGTCGAGGACCACAGGATGCCTCTACATCGTACCGGTCGCTCTTAGTGTCCAATCATCTAGGGAAAGCGATTCATAGAGCGATTCGTTTGCAGCATTCTGACGTATACGAGAAGTTTTTACAAGCTCAGCAGACAGGAGGCCGCCGTGGGGTGCCTGTCCAATTGCCTCTCCATCAGGCGAGAGCTTTCGTGCGCCAAGCTCGAGCCAAACGGTCTTCCTTTGCCATTTTGTACTTGGATTTGACAGAAGCATTCTACCGCATTCTGCGGGAGGTGCCGATCGGTGGAATCATCACTGACGACTTCCTGGGCTACCTCATGGCTCGTCTCAAACTACCTCCTGACTCACTGCACACCTTGCACGAGCTACTTGATGAACCACCGGCGCTCCAACAAGCTGGCAGGTCTGAAATGGACCGTCGATGTATGCAAGCCATACATACCAGCACGTTCTTTTGGCTGGATGGCCAAAGCGACATCTCAAGGACCAGAATTGGAACGCGTCCGGGAGATTGCATGGCGGATCTTATTTTTGGATTTGCTTGGGCATGCGTTTTGAAAAAGCTCGAAGCCTACATGTTGGAGCAAGGTGCGCTAGCGTCCTTTCCACATTGTGATCATCTTCCATTGTTTGGACAGTTTGCACATGAAGGAGTTGGACTTTATTTTGCCGGCCCAGAGATTCTGACACGTCATGTTGGAGACATTGGAGGCCATCTTCTAGTCCTATGTGAATATCATGGCATGCAGCCCAATCTGGGGCATGGGAAAACGGAGTTGATGCTGACATTTCGCGGGGCATCGTCCCGGAAAGCACGTGTTCAATTCTATGGCCCTACGGCCGGCCGCCATTTCCCGATTGTGAGAGAAAAGTGCACGAGTCAGATTCAAGTGGTCAGTCGCTATCGTCATCTTGGCGGAGTCCTGCACCACACTGGAGACCAAGCAGTTGAAATCAGGCAACGAGCGGCAATTGCTCGCGCTGCCATGAACCAACACAAGAAAGTCTTGTTCTGCAACCCGTACATTGATCTACGGAAACGAGCGGAGCTCTTCCAAATGCTCGTGATGAGCATGTTCTTGTACGGAGCAGACACATGGGTTGCCATGGATGACCGTACCATGCACAAGTTCAGCGCTACGGTCCTGATGTTCGACATGATGATCATGTACCTGAACAGGAAGTCTTGGTCAGGGTGGCACAGCCCAGTCCACTTGAGCTTCTTCATAGAGTACGACTTCGGTACTTTGCTACGTTGGTTCACGCGCAGGTTCCGGAGATTTGGGCGCTCTTTGCAAAACAAGCCATGGTTTGGATGTGGGAGCAACTACGAGCTGCTTCACCGCTTCCGGCCCCACGAGTGAACTACCTGCAATGGCTTCAGCTCATTCAATGCCATCCTCGTTACTGGAAGAGACTCATTCGCCGTGCATGCGATCATTGCATCTTGCAACGGCAAAAGAGGGTCGAAGTGGCGCAATTTCATGAGAAAGTTTTCGCACGCCTGGAGACTATCATGGAGGAGCTGCACAACAGCGACCATGTGGACGTGAGTGCATCTCAAGCCACCTATGGGTGTCTTGGTTGTGGACTGCGCTGTCGCAACCGCGCAGGAGAAGCTGCCCACATGTACAAACGGCATGGTTTGGGATCCAGACTTCGAAGATTGTTTGATGAGCCAACCTGTCCGGCATGTTTGAAGCACTTTCACACGAACCAGAAGATGAAGGCCCGCCTCTACTACAACACAGCCTGCAGACAGCGTCTTGAGAGCTGCAACATGAATTGTGCTGCTGCTCCTGGTGCTGGCTCACAGGAAGATCGGCAGAGAGATGACATACATGACCGAGTTCTCCCGCCGGTTCAGGGACAAGGACCACACATGGAGGCAGCACGACACAGAGAAGTCATTGCATACAACGAGGAGCTCTTTGAGACGTTGGTTCTTTGGGTTACGGAACAGGTTGATCTTCATACTTTGCCTTCCAAACTCCAAGTCTTCGTCCAGAATAAGGCGATTTCCTGGACGGACTTCTGTGTCACCATGCGCTTCTTTCGGGACTCAGTGGAGGAGCAGGATGCGGAGATCTTCAACTTTGACCTGATTGTCTTCAAGTCGATCATTGACGAGATCCTGAAGCCTTCTGCATGGCCGGCCTTGCTTGCAGTCTCCTCCTCATTGAGATGCACGGCATCACATGTGGACCCAGAGCCTTTGGGCGACATCGAGTCCTCTTGCACGCGTTCTCGGGGCGTCGCAGGCTAGGTGACCTGCAATTTTACGTGGACCGGTTAGCTTCGTTGAGAACTGCCTATGTGGTCCACGTCATCTCCATGGATATCATCGTAGACCCCCATTGGGGGGACGCCTCTAATCCAACTACGAGGGGATATTGGATTCAAGCGATTCGTGACCGCTGGGTGATTGCGTTTGTTGGTGGACCTCCATGCGAAACGTGGTCGCGCGCACGGGGCCAGGTCATCAACCAGAACGACACCAAGGAGGGCCGTGAAGGACCCAGGGTCATCAGAGACCTTGAACAGTTGTGGGGCTTCAACTGATCATAGGCAATGCCCTCCTTTGCTTCGCCCTTTGGGCGGCAGAACCAGAAGACCAGCCCCTGGCTGCGTCGATCTGGCGATTGCCCATCATGCAAGCTTTGTTAGCCATGCAGCATGTGCAGAAGTTACGTTTTGCTCAGGGGCTCATGGGGGCATACACCCCCAAGCCGACACATTTGTTGGTGGTGAATCTTCCTGGATTGTTGGGTGACTTACACAGTCACAGAGTCAGGAAGGAGCTTCCCAGGCAGACCGCGATTGGTAAGAACCAAACCGGCACTAGGAGAACGACCATTTTGAAAGAATACCCACCATCATTTTGTTGCAGCATGGCAGAATCATTTATCCGAGCATTTGATGCTTGTGACGTAGATCACTCCATTGTCCCTTCCGACGAATTTTTGCGTCGATGTGCAGATATGGTCTGTACGGAGTACGGCCAGGCAATGGGAGCTGACTATGCGCTGTAAAGGATGCAGCTGAATTCAAAGCCTTGCAAGGCCGCAGCGACAGCTTCAATGGGCCGGTGGAAAAAAACAAGTCAGCAGCCGCGTATATATATATATTATAACATGTATGTAATTATGTATTCTGTACATATCCCTCGGTTCATCTCTTTGAGTCACATCATATAAGCTAATGATTCACGCATCTAACGAGTTGTTCCTTGATTTGAACCAACCGCGTTTGTATCTTTCAGTTGCCAGCCTCAATACGCCCAAAGTCCCAATCAGCAGAACTTCCTCAAGGTGAGAGGTGGTTGGAGAACCCTTCAGGAACCTTGGATTCTCATGGATTCTCGGTACACTGACAGTATGCTCAGTCTAACTGCATGTGTTGAGTTCTGATGAATTCTGGCATGTTGTGGCCATTTGGGAGACCAGCGCTAGGAGTACTTTGGTCGGGAGCACAGTGTTTGGGACACTTCGGCACGCAACACTCGACTCCTGGATGTCCAGCTCAAAGGCCCACGTGTACGTTGCCAGGACAGTTTCCTGCAGCAAAATTCACGGGCATTGCAAGAAACCATCACGTGCAATCACTACTCAGGCAGCCTACTGAACCAAAAATCTTGTACAAGCAAGGGCGACCAACACAAATGATACTGATGCGTATAAAAACTCACAACTGCCATGAAAGAAGAATCTTGTTAAACAAACTGCAACTTCAAATGTGTAGAACTGCATTTCATCTTTTTCTTTTGAAGCACAATGCTCCTCAAGCCCCTCCATTCACAAAGCATTGGAAAACACGCACCACACAGGAATTCAAAGGTGTAGGGTGGCCCTCAAACAAGAAATGCTTTCATTGTCGCAAAGAAATCGCTGAAATTACAGAACCTCTCACCACAACACATCCTGCGTACTGACTTAAGTAAATGGAACTTAGGCAGGCTTGGCTACCTTTTGCGATGAATGATTTGATAGATATTGGCAGGACTTGCCAAAGGGCCAAATGAGAAGTGCAACAAACTGTGCCCCTGTTTGGCTTCAAAAGTTCAAGGCTCGGTCGCTACATCTTCACCTTGGCCTTTGGGGTTGATCATGATGAAGAGCTGCACGATCCTAGGGCACGATATGGCAGGATATGGTGAAAAACCGGCGCGCACACAAACCACATCAAATCAAACAATATCGGCAAAATATCGGCAAACAAATGCAAACCTTTCTCGAAGATGGCGTGTTTCACTGCAAGAAACATGACTCTTGCGATTCTTGCGATTCTTCCTACTACTCCGGCAGCACAGATGTCATAAAAGGAAAAGTGAAACATGCCACCAAGCATGTAGAATGCCTTTTCCAATCTGACTCAAGAAATTCGCGAAGAAGATACGCAGTCGCTTGTCGAAATCTTGGGTGAACAGGGGGTTCGGGTCTTGACATGCAGGAATTGGATAGAAATGAATGGGTGTATGGCAACTAAGCAACACGCTGGGCCCCAGCTTTTTACAATCTTTTTTTGTCCCATATTGTGTGCTGGAATAAGCGCCCAAAGTTTGGGACTTTCGATTTGCAGCTGAGACAAGGACAAGGACATCAAGTGACATCAAGGACAAAGTTGACGAGTTTCCATCGCATCATGGCTGCTGGCGACTTCAGGTAGCTGACTGAAGAGTCCACAAGGCAGTTTACCGCAGTTGAGGCATACCTCGGAGAAAAAGATAAACAAATAAACTTTCACTGTCCATGGAGGCATGGATTGAAGTTGAGCCAGCAGGCATTTAACCAAATTTAGACTTGATGGCAACATCATTTTGCCCTGCTTGCTGATTCTGGAGTTGTTAGATATGAAGCAGGTTTTTTATCGGCAAAAATTACACGATCTTTAACAGCCACATGTGACGGGTACATGTACTTGCGACATGCATTCATAAACTCCTCTCCCTCTGAAAATAGTCGGATAGGAGAAAAGGCACACAATTCCGAAAAAAATCGACCAAAGGATGCAGGAGGTGGGAAAACATCTGAAAAAACCTCTTATTTCTCCATGCCTGACAAATTAAGAACTATGAAAGCATACCATCCGGACATGGAGAAATATGGAGAATTCACTGGTGCCAAGAAGCAAACATGCGGGGGCCCACATACCTTTGAGGAAGAATGCAAGAAACTGTCGACATACTTTGCGTGTCAGGCGTTTGCTGTACATCACCTCGTTTTGGCGAAGAAATCAGCAAGTTCCAGCCCAAATGGATGCAACAGATTTCGAGTTCTCGAATCATGCATTCTTAGTTACTTGAACAAACCAACAACGAAGGAAACAACTCAAGCAGGACTCAAGCAAAGTAGGCAAGATGCGAAAGATTGGCATTCCAAGACGAGGTAAACCTGAGGGTTGAAGTTGAGAAACCATCGAAAATAGCAATTGAAATTTGCAAGAACTTCCTACTGTAGAACTGGCATCACACAAACTTGCAGAGCTGGTATTGGTACAATATGGTACAATGATGTACAATGAATAAATAAAAACGGACAAGACCTACATAGAATTACAGCAATGGTTTTTGAGTCCACCATCTCGGCCTCAAGGAGTGCCTTCCACAAGCAAACTCAAAAAATGCAGAAATAGAAAAACAATGAAACACATAATAATGTTTTAAAAAGATTAATTCTGGAACGAGAGGCTGCTACCAGAGAATAGATGGTCTCAAATGATGAATCGATGCGATGTGAGACGTGCTTACATAACAGCGGGTCATCCGGCCACAGCTCGTTTATGAAGGCTTTCAAGGTAGTAAATGGAAATGCACCTCAGTCAGTATGCATTCATTGCATGCTGGGATCACGATGGCGAAGAATTGAACCAAATTGAAATAAAATGGAGAAGTCGCTTCCGTATGCGGTTCTACTTCACCCTCCTCTATCTTTACCATTCTGAACAGTTCGAAACAATTCTGAGCAATTCTGAAGTCTTCTGAACTTCTCATTCCCTTCTGCAGAGTGATCTCTATGTGTCGGAGATGAACTGTACAAACTGGAACTGCCTTGCCTTTCGCCCCTCTTTGCAGCTCCGGCTTCTTTCCTCACACTCCATGCAACCAAGTGGCAATGCCAGTGGCGGCTCACCGTGTTCCAAAGTGCCTCATGGTCCCAAATGCTGAGTGGGATGCCAATGCATAACAAGAACATCACTTGCGAAGGGGACGAAAAGTAGCCTCAGTGAGCTGAAAATGCTGAAAGTTTCATTCGCTACATATAGTTGTCCGCTATTGCAACTGTAAGTTGATGTGTATCTATGTATGTATGTATGTATGTAGGTACGTACGTACGTACGTATGTATGTATGTATATATATACACATACAAACATATGTTAATTGTTACATCATACACAGAAGCTCTTTTGGCCCAAAAGACTGCCGGAGGCCAATTGTTGTTGCATTCACGCCGGAAGCTTGTGAAATCGGCCGATGTCTCCAAAGACGCCGCAGAAGTTCAAAAGCGCCGGAGCTACAAATGTAGAATGAAACAAACATGCAAAAAAGAGACCCGCATTAAATTACCCTGGAATTAAGGATTGCCCGTAATTATAGGCAATTACGCCTGCTGGAAAAGTGAAAGACTATCTCAAAAACCCTGCAAACTAGAGTTGCTGGCGCCGCTGTTAAAACACTGGGAAGCATCAGAAAACGTTTTTACCAAGCAAAGTCTTTGTTCCCTAAAAGGCAAGAATAGTAGAGTATTTGGAGTCTCTAGGCTAGATATATGATCCCGTGTCTCGTGTTCACGCCCCCCCACCACATCCACATCCACATCCATAGAGGGATACATAGACATATAAATATACAGATACATACACACCAATGTATATATATATATGTATAATGTATACTACTTACATAATATATATATATATATATATTCAACTTATATGCACATATAGATACACACATACTTGTATATCATATATATATATATACACATGCCCATATACATATAGGGACCATTACCATCTCAGAGGGGAGGGGGAACCACCAGACACTGGGCCACACACATGTGTATATATATATATTATTATTATTATTAATTATAATTATAACTATTATTGTTATTATATAGAAATACACATACATATACATACATACGTAGTAAATTGATATGCACACGACAAGGATGCATCCAATTCTTGACAAACATATTATGGAGAAAACGATGTAATGAAAAACACGGGGAAAAAAATCTGCAGAATTGAGTTGAAAGGGTCTGGTGGTTTACGTTGGGATGGGGAAGGAGAGATTGCAGAATGGAAGAGAATCAGAGGACGAATGAACACGTGGAGGGAAGGGTACGGGAAGCACAGCTTCATACACAAAAAGGAGGAGTAGAGCCAGCATCGCCCATACGCGGAACAAACATGCATTCTGTTGGCAACATTCCATACTTGCACCCGGTGAGGACCAACATAAGAAAACACGCGCGCGCACACATACACATGATCTGAAATGCCGAAAAGGAAACCTCAGATGACAGAATCATTGCAAAAGTACCTCCGAGAAAGTGATGTGCTTTGCGTGGCGTGCTGAAGCATGGCTGCTCTGCTAGTGCTGCAGAATCTGCACAGCAGTCAGAATTTCCAGGCAACCCCGCCAAGTTGTCTGGAAATTCCTGCATTTTGGCATTTTGTGGCTCAAAGCGTCGTTCCATGTTCTAGAAATGGCTGAGTTGGTCTAGCAAGCTAAGTACAAACCTGTGAAGTACGGTCACAGCAAGGTGTCATAAAGGCGGCTAGCAATGAAGCAACGGAACAGTGCATCCAAAAATTCATGCCTTGAAGCAAAGTATAGCACCACCACCACCACCACCACCAAGACCAAGAAGAACAAGACCAAGAAGAACAAGAAGAACAAGAAGAACAAGAAGAACAAGAACAACCACAACCACAACCATCTCAACGCCATGTGCAAGCACAAAGGGACAACCGAGGCGCAACTGATGCACATAAAACTACAACAATTACAGTAAATACAGTAGTTATAGATATCATTGAACCATCATATTGCTTCTATATATACTATAAAAGAAGAATCCTCTTAAGCACGTGCTTTCTCAGCATAATGCAACGTCTGAAATTCACGTAACTGACTTTCACTTATTCCTCTGGGCCAAGCTGCTCTACAAGCAAAGCATTGGAGAATCCGGAGAGCTTGGACCACTATCAGGGTTGAAAGGGGACACGCCGGAAAAGAAAAACAACATGGAATTTATATATAATTTATAATATAATAATATATACTATATGAATTTACAACCATCTCCCCTCCTTATACATGTTCTGCACTGAAGTAGGTAGATCTCTGGTAGGCTCAGCAACCCTTCGTGATAACTTGGCATCATCATCGAAAAAGTAAAGCCCTGTATCTTATGGAAAGGTTCAGTCCAGGGAAGGGAAGAATGAAAAAACACCAACCCCTATGCAATCCAGTCAAAACGCTGCAAGTTGCAATGACTCTCAAGATGTCAATGGTGTTTATCTCCCGGTGATTCTGTTTCTCCACATCAACATGTGGAATTTGCTGAGGTGTTGTGGATCTCAAAGAAGTTGTGTCTCCCTGGACCTTGTCCTGCTTTCTCCTTGGAGTATCGTGTGGGCAATAGAGCGTTTTCATTGCAAGATGCATCAAAAATCATCAAGATGCCACTGATCGGCTCGGAAAAGTTGTGCTGTGAAACCCGCTCTTGGTACTCTGGTTGAAACCGTCTCAGTTGGACTCTAAAAATGAATTGCTCTTTGACTAGCTCAGGATATGTTAGACGAATCAGCCAAGGACTTTGCAGTGCCGAAAAATGGTTCTGTTGCATTCCAAATGAACGCAGACTTGCGAGACTCACACACACACATACGTATTGTTGAAACATGTTGAAACTTATTCAGAGGCAAACATCACCAAGTCTCCCATGTGACGCATCCCTCAGAAGTCTTGGCAAGATAAGAAGGACAACACAAGTGACAATTGGCGGCCACAAGGCAGGTCTGCCTTTGTGGAAACAACCACCTGCTTCTGCATCTCCTGGAAACAAGACATCGACAAGTGCAATAGACACCCAAAAAAACCTAATGTATAATAATGTATATAATATTATATAATTACATGTACGTACATACATGCACTTACTCAAAAAACTAAAAGTGCTATCTGTGAAGTCTCACACGAAAGGTATTGCTGAGTGCGTTGCCAATTCAGTTGAACTTACTATTGTTGCAGTCCTCGAAAGCTAAAAAGCGACATAAATTAGAAAAAGGTACGTGCAGCCGACAAAACTATCATTTCATTCGATACCACATTCTGGCAGTCATTCACAGTAATCTGAACACGTCTTGTTTTGGGTAACGAACCGCCCTTCCATCCGGCCATACATTCTCGAAATCTATCTGAACATGTCTATTTTATTTCCAGACTTCAGACTGTGAAGTGAAGTCCAAAATATGTATTGAAGGATTTCCCATTCTTGACATACATTCTATATACTGTATATCATTTTAGCATTGCTTTCTGGCAAATGAGTCCACGGATACTACGATAGCCTTCAACATGTCACCATAGCATCATCGTATGAATCATATGTACCACACTTTACACACTTTAATTTACATCTTTGGGTGGCACTCTCACATGTCTTTGGTGAAATCTTGGCACAAACACTCAGTCTGGCCCGCTGCAGAACGACTGCCAAATGGCAGTCACGGCCTGGCAACGTTTCATGTAGCTCCAAATTCTCCAAAATCTGTGCGTACAACCTGCCCGTCACCCTGGACCCTGGTCATCACCATCCAAAACCCACTCTAATCCCACGGTACTCGCACGGTTGTGCTGCAATTAAATCAATTTTAAGGGTTCTAACACTGCACCGGACAACACATGACGGTATGTTGAATTTTTGCCGCACAAATCATGCAATTGTGAAAGGGAGTGGCGAGACAAATAGGTAGTCAGGGAGCACTGAAGAAATTACCAGCAGCAACTAGTCAATTTCATGGTGCCATCCGCATTGCCTTTGGACCACAGCAGCTATGCAATGGGGACCAGCTGAAGTTTTGGGGTCTGATGTCTATGGAGTCCATGCTCGATGGTCCAAGACACACTCTGTTCTCTAGCAGTTGTGGCATCAGGTGAAATGCAACATTGGCATGAGAACATGCTCCAGGAACTGCGAGAACCAATCCTGGCAGAAGAACATTTCAAATATTATCAAATCAATATCAAATCAATATTATTCAATAGAGCCTCCAAAGTATTCAGCCCATTTCAGTCTTGGTGCACAATGAATGAATTGTTGGTTCTGACCAAAGTCCCTTTTCGACCGGTTTGAAACAAATGCACGATGAGATATTTGGAATACCCTGAAGAAATGGAAACCTGCAAGACCAGGTTTGATTCTCTGGCCAAGTGTCGATTGTCTGTAAACTCCCGCAAATCTGATCTCAATCGGACCCTCGCGCCATATGTCTTGCAGTGCGGCATCCTGTACCGCGATGAAGGGGCGGTGTGACACTGCATCTCCAGGGCATTTGAAGTGAGAAAGAAGAATTTCATAGCTCGTGGACTCGTGGATGGATAAGATGGGCACTTGCCCACTTCAGACAAATGAAATAAAAACACACGAAGAAAACATGGATCTGTTTTGAATCTGAACAACTTCACCAGAAGCATCATCATGAAGCATCCTGTCAAATTGTCCAAGCAATGTTCAAGTAATGTTCAAGCTGCAGCTGCAGGCTCCTGCACTTTGAACAGTCTAGTTCTCGAAGTGGACGAACCAAAAAGGCTGAAAGCCCATATCGGCGAACTCGAGGATCATGAGGCACATAGCACGTTCCATATAAGTCGTCTTGCCTTTCTCGGAAGTTCTCAACACAAACCGCCGAAGACTCTGTACTTTGATTCTTGCGGCTGAAACGTCTTCCTGAACTGTCGGTGATAAAAAGAGTACCTCCAGGGAAATGTGCAACCCCTCGTGACAGCTGCATACGGACGTTAGGAAGATCCGTGAAGAGCTAGGAAGATATAGGAAGATCTATGATTTGCGAAGATTTATGAACTGTGATGTGTGATTCATAGAAGTATGTGAATCATACCACTCTATTCCTATTCCAACACACACAACCGCACAATCCCGGAGAATCGCGACCTTTCACACTGAAATGCCGTCCACTTCGAGGAGCTCCAGAGATGTTGACTAACGATAAGGGCGGTGGAAACAGCGTGTAGCCATCGTCACAGCGATACGCACGAGCCCGGTACAGATGCGTCCCACTGATTTTACAGTGGCCTGTGCCAGCACATCGCAATGAGAAGTCTGCACAATGTGTCGAGGGATCACAGCCTTGGATCTTGGATGATCTTGGATGCCACCGTGAATGCCACCGTGAATGCCAAGTTATGCCAAGTTATGCCACGTTGTGCAAAATGCACACCCAGTTCAGGTTGTTGGGCAAATTGTGGCAAGTTATTTAGCAAGTACCGAGCCAAGTGTTTGTCAGAGTCCCCAGCGTCACTTGGAGACTTTGCCTTCTTTGTCACTGGCCGTGAAAATCCCACTTTGGGCTGCTACTTCAGTTGTTGGGGACAGGCAATCACCATCTCTTCTAGAAGTACAATCTTTTGTACTGTATCTGGAATTTTGAAATACTCTAAGGATCAAATGTATATAGCACTTGACTTGGCTCCCAAATGTTCCATGACTTTCTGGGCAGTCGAAGAAACACTCACCCTGCAACCTTTGGCCGAGTGACAATATTGCAAATCAATGTCCTTTCGACACGGCAAGGAAGGGGTGTGTTTTGTATTGTTTTCTTCCTTGAACAACGCAACAAATTAAATCCAGTTGGACAAATATTTGCACCTAGGAGCCAGCGGCGCCAAACAGCATTTGTGCAGTGAAAATCTCAGACGATTCAACTCTGTTTTGTTTCATCTGCTGAGTTTCCATGAGGGTTGGCTGGTTCCGAAAGAAAAGTACAGCAAACCAACGATTAAGATAAGCGTCCACTTCATTGCTGCAACACTTCTCGAACGTGTGCCTGCCATCCACGAAAAAAACATATTAAGTGAACATGGAAGGGATAGAACATGGTACAACATCGCCATCCCTCTTGTTTCTCTCACCTGACAAAGTGGTGTGGAGAACAAACAAAACGGCTTCTTGTTTGTTCGTTGACATGCGCAGACCTTGCATCTGCAATTTGTTGCCCAGTTCCAAGTATTCTAGAGGCTGTCTCAAAAAGTGCCTCTTTAATCTTGATTGCGACACATTTGAAGGGCTTGGAAGCAAATTGATGCATCTGCTCACACCAAAAAAGGCTTCAACAAACATCAGTCCGATTCAGTCTCTGTCGTTTCACATGTGTTACCGAAAACATTCGAAAACCATCTCTCTCTCATTGAGGAAAATGCCGTGGACTTTGTGAAAATTTGGTACTGTCCCGCAATGCTGGGAAAAATTCCTCGTTTCATGGCGAACATGACTGGACTGTGTATAAATGTGTAGAAGAGGACGTGCTCACATCTTGTCCACTCTGGAATGTGCACTTCACGGCCCGTTCACACGGCCCGTTTCACATGGCCCGTTTCCCACGGCACAGAACAAGGCCGTTTCCTTGGCTCTTGATGCTCTTATCATCTCTTATCTATCTTATCTGCTCTTCAACACTGAATATCATTGAATCAAACATTGAAGATATTGAAGCAAATGCTTACAGGCTACAATTTGTGGAAACCCTTGCGGTCAAAGATGCAACTCATCCCAGCATTCTGGACGACTGGCCCCGGAGGTTGTGTCGCAACAGCTTCTGGCATGCTCCGGTGGCATCTCATCAAAACCTGAAGGAAGCCGGTGGCGTCATGTTACTCCAAAGTTACTGCAGGTCGACCCACTTTGAAACGCTGCAAACTGGAAACCACATGCTACTTTGCACACAGTAGATTCCTATTCTACAACTCCAGGATACCCAAAACATATTTGAAATCTGGGCTAGTTCGATGGAGTAGCGGAGCTGACTTCATACAGCGCATGTCTTGGCTACAAGAAGCACGAGCAACACCCAGGACATTCCAGGACCCACTGTTACCTTGAGAACAAGGTTGCACTGAACGCTTTGGAGAAACATAGAACACCATAGAATGACACATAATTCGTGATGGGCTTCAGGTAGAGGGCAATGTACAATCAGCGGAGACATCTCAGGTGATCTGAATTTAGCTTTCGTGTTAAAATTCTCCGGATCTTGCAACAGCAAATCAAAGCGGTGAGCATTAAAAGAAGTCTAGGAACCTAAGTCGGAGATTGTGTGATGCATTTTCGAGGTGGAAGTTGGCTCTAGATTCAACATTCATATACTTGCCATTCCAGCTGGATGTGGCAACATTTTTAAAACAACCTTTTGACATGCTTCGAGACATTGATGTTTGCTTAGTCGCTTTGTGCTTGCCGCTTGCCTGTATCTGTAGGCTATAGTCACGAGTCGCCAAGCCAGTCTTATGTATCCTCAACCTGCCCATGTCTAGCCAACCAGTACGTCGCCATGTGTGATGCATTTTTCTTGCGAAATCTTGGACCATCTCAATGCCCTCACAAGAAGCTCTGCCTGATGTCTACCATCGACCATCTGCTTACCATTCCATCTGCTGACCAAGAAGCACTTTGGATTTAGCCACGCTCCGCTGCTTCTTTGCCATTCAAAGGCTGACAGCCACAGCCACGGCCAGTGAAACCAAGAAGTCGCCCTGCAAACGCCACTTTGCATCAGCCTTGGAGATGCCTAGAAGCCCTCCTGCAGTACCGGCATTGCGCCACGCTGAGCCATTGAGTCTAAGCCAGTCTAAAACAAACCTTGGGTTGTCCACGGATTGTCCACAGGTTGCTCAGCTTTGTCAGGCTGTTCCAAGAGCATGGAATTCTGCTCAAGTCCAGTCACGATGATGTTCTTCTATCTCTTCTTTTCATTTTGAAAGAGGGGGGATCTGTGCCTAGCTGTGAACGTGAACCAATCGCTAACCACACGCTGTTTGAACCCCAGGGACTTGATCAAACAGTATGTGACGTAGAAAAATGGCCACGCATTTCTAACTATCCAAATGGCATACAAAACTGATGAAAGAATCAACGGAGGGCATCTCAGGCTAAGTGCATGATTTTCTCTCCCACACTGAATCAACATTGTGCTTGCGAGGTCTCTTTACTTCGGAAGCGCATACTCTGCGTTGCATTGAAACTTGAATGTTCTACTTGGGTGGCGGTTCTACTCGATTCAATCCGACTCCGAACCTCAAGACAGTAAAACTTCGATGGTGCTGCGGCTGTGGCTGCACTTTTGAGATATTATCATCAGTGTTATAGGTTCTGAAATCACGTTCACACGTCACCTTGAGGCATGGGCTTGAGCAAGTTGGTTGACTCTGGAGGCTCTGAAATCCTGAGTTCCACTCCACACAAACTTCCAGCACGACTTGGTTGCCCAATGCAGATCGAAATGAATAGATTGTACAAAGATTGGGGCTTAGTAAATCTGGGCGAATCTTAGTTTTCCCTCTGAGGGATTGGCCACGTTCCTGGGTTGATGAGCTTCTCCGGTCTCATGGAATCGACGGCGACCAGGCCGGTTAAGGTCTCACACGGGTGCGGTTTGCTCCTAAATCTGAGAAAAGAATTGTGCTCATCACAGCGCTTGGGTGATCCGATTTGATCCGCAACTAACATCCCTAAAATCTAAGGCACTGCATATTAAATCGATGTCAACATGTGTCAAAGGTTTGAGATACCCGATTCAAAACTCACGTTTAGACGTCCTATCATCCACCCGAATGGGGCATCAACGTCACCAGTCCATCACCAACATAAAATTTTCAGGATGTGGACTGGAAATGCTCGAGTGCGGGGCCCCCTCTTGGGCACAAATGTTGAATGGTGTTGATAAATACAGTCAACGTAGTGAATTGCATTGTGGGTGTTGACAGATTGAGGTTCTGAAGAGGCAAGCAGGAACAAACATTTTTCAAAAGGCATCTCTGAGATTACATCCATTTAGAACCGCTCCATCAACACCAAGATCTTTGCATCCCGGAATATCCTGAAGTGGATAGATAGGCTTCACAACTACCAGGAACTACTAAATGAAATAGTTTGTTTGTGTTGTCTTGTTGGCAAGGCTCATTTTGACAATGAGGGTTCAAATGCAACCATAAAATGCATCGTGCAAACATTCTAGCTAGATTCTAGCTAAGAAGTATCAACGCACCACCAACCCTGTCCAAATAAGAAAGCACAAAGGCAACGCCTTGACCACAAGCACTTTCAATACCGATGACGAAGTGATCAAAGCACACACACACATTTCCAACATGATAAGCATTGAATACCAAACTGGTCGATCCCAGAACTATCCACATCAGCAATGCTGAAACAAAAAATGTATGAATACTCTTCCAAGGTGCCATCAGGGCAAACTAAAAACTAAGAACCTTTCAACCTGCCAAACAAATGAAACATGGACTGATCACCGGACTAACGATTAGCTGCCTAGATTTCACAAACAAATCAGAATTTGCACAGTTCGATGCGCCAAGTGCAACAGTTGGCACATCTATGGTAGTACTGAAAAGGTTGCAGGTTGCTGAGAGATAGCAAACAATTGGCAAATCATGGTTCCAATTTTCTTTGTTCAAAGTGTTTTGGCGTGTGCCAGTCAGGAGATATAGACGTTCTAAATGTGCAGTGTAGCTATGCCCCAGCATGGACAAACGAGTTCAGAACGGAATGCTGCTTGCCGTTTGCTGTCAGCATCGTACATGCAAAACCCCATCCTCGTCAACACCAACATGCTGTAAACTGCGTCGACCCCACTCAGTCTGAGCTGTACATCCCATTTGTTTCCCATTTTCTGACATTCCCCACCTTCCCTGATTCGTTTTCGCTACAGCTTTCCAGCAGTGCCTGACAAGCTGATGCTGAGCATCAAACCAATCAAATGCTAAGCAAATGCTTCCATTTATGATCTTTAATATATGTATATTACAATATATACATAATTATACATATACATATATAAATTGTATATAGTTGTTGTATAGTTGTTGTCCGGATGTTTATTACTATACCATTGATAAGATATTTATATTCGAATCAAAAGGAGTAGTATGGAGCTTGACTCACATGGCTAAAAAATGCTTTAATAATATGGATGCCTCTCAGATTTCCCTTTAGAGTGCCTGTCTATTTTGCTGGTCTGAAACAAATCCCACTTCAAATCCGACACATGTGAACTCAATGTGAACTCAATGAACCGAGTGATGCCCGATGTCTCTGCGCGACTCTTGCTCTTCCCGACTCTTCTTGTGCCTTCTGAGTACAAAGCCCTAGCGAGCCCACGCTGGGCTCTGGCTTGGGGCGATTTGCCTCAGTGACTGGTCGGTGAAACCAGTACTCAGTAGGTCTGCGCTGTAAACAATCCATCGAACATACTGACAAAGGCCAAGTAAATCAACAGCCAAGAGATACACCCAGTTTATTTGCTGCTGCTGCTGCTGGTGGTGTGGTGATGGTGGTGTTGTTGTTGTTGTGGTGGTGGTGGTGGTGGTCGTCGTCGTGGTCGCGGTCGTCGGCGCATTTTTAGCCATAATTATGCTGGCACTTCACTGAGCAACAACCAGAATCCCATTCCATGATTTTACCATTTTCGCTGGTGAAGAGGGATCTTCTGCATCGCTTCAATGAATTGTGACAAGCAACTTGTTCGGTGTGGAGCAATGCTCATGTGATTGTCCCTTCCGATAGCACACCGCTGGAAAAAAAAGGTCAGCAAATACACATGGACGTTGAATGTACAGCTCAATTTTCCACCAACCACTAGTTGCGAATTTCAATCGAGCACGCAACCTCTGCCAAGTCCTTCGAAATGTTCCTTCAGGTTGAACATGGTTGAACCAAGTCCCCCCACGCGGCCGCAGCGCAGCATTACCTCGCAAAAGAAACGCGTTGAGTCTGGACTTTGGAACAGAGGAACATAGAGGAACTATCATGAATTATGAACAACCAAAAACAGAATCATAGTGAGGAACGGCATGTAACATGTCAATGTAATGAACGACATTGAATATCTGAATATGTATGAATATGTCGAATCTGCGCAAGATTTGCAACATACCGAACGTATATGAACATATTCAACTTGGTGGTCTCAGACATCAAAAGACCTCAGGGTGTCACAGTTCACTCAGGTCACGTAGGCTTGAACCAGGACGCTGCAGAACTGAACGCTGGGGGACATGCCAACCATTGCTAAACACTTCCATGTGTTTTCATGTGTTCTCATCGTAAAGTTGTGGAATCTTTGTTATCCGAACTCAAAGCAAGAAACGCAAAGCATCAGATCGTTTTAGCTGCTTTGATCTGTTCATCCTCGTCAACTTGCACCATCTCTTCATATCTCTTCCTGTCAGTCGCTTTTTCTTTCGTGAATTCTTTGCCAGGCGAAACTACTAGACGAGTCACTGACTAGTGCTTCCAGGATGCCATAACTGGCACGTGATGCCATAACTGACACGTGATTGAAGTGAAACACAAAAGGACAGTCAAAAACATGATGACGCACATGCTGTCTGAATATCATTGAAAAGTGCCAGCTGATCCCAGCCTGATAAATCCAACGAATACAGGGTATCGAAGGTCAAGAATTGAAAACGCAGTAAACAGGAAGGCAAAAGAAGTCATTAGCAAAGTCGGTGCGATACTTCAAATGTGAATTCATTCACCTTCGATCTGAACAATGAGAGCCACTGTGACGTGGGTCATTGCCTAAGGCAATATTGCATATTCACAAGGCAAACTGTGCGCGCCAAATTCACCACGCAGAAGGGGAATGGTGGCTGACATGCCGTGGCAGCCGTGGCACATGCTCATCCATTGTGCCGAGCACCAAATCCAAATCTGTAAAAAATAAACAGCAACTCTGCCATTTGAACAACACGTGACAAACTTGTGTCTAAAGAGACTCGATGTGCCGAAAGAGAAGGCACAGCTCTGCTCAATGGACCCTACCTGCCAACCTATAGATGGAAAGACATTGTCGGACAACGAACATAGAAACTTTGCACAATGAATTGACTTCGTATGCAACAGGTCAAAGCTGACTTCATTTTGACAAATCACAACGTTCAAGGATCAATGTGGCTTTTGAATGCTTTTGATCTTTCCATCCACGAACAAAATCTGAAGGCACTCAGAATTCATATGCCTCAGAACATACTTTAAGATGTATGACACGTGAAGGGCAAATGCTGGCTGAGCAGGTACACGGACATGGATCAAGATGGCAGATTTCAAGACCTTGAAAGCCCGTGTCATTTCATTCTTCGCTGTCACCATATTCCGTCATCTTCCCATCTTGCATCAAGAAGTCGAACCAGTCTAACTAGAACAAAACTACTGACAACATGCGATGGCAATTTTGACATTCCATCAGGTTCACGCCTGCTGCAGCCTCCGCTTCCAGCATGCACTGCCTGACATGGCAGTTCCAATATCTTCACGTTGAGAATTACATCACAAGTACGTCTTGAAATCTTGAAATGTCTTCTATAGATGCTGCTTACACTACTTTTGGTGGAGCTGATTGCATGGGCTCTCAAGCCATCTCAAAAGGAACTCTGTCTGAATCTGAACTCGAAACACAGCAGGAGCTATGCCTTTTGCCGTGACGTTACCATTTGATTATTGAAAGAGGGTGATTCAGGAAAGAGGATGCGATTTATGTAAACGTATACTGTACTTGATTGACAGTGATGTTCAAAACAGCACATATGTGGGAAGAAACCGCAAGCTTGATCTTGTCAGTTGTGGACAAAGTCAAAGAAAAGGATGAATGGGAAAGCGCATAGTTTTGATGTGAGTGCTCTGATTTAGATGACTTCAGCAAATCAATATTCCGTGAATTACGCATGAAACTCTCTAGCAATGTGGCTCGTCCAAAGACACATATTCTCCATTTGGGCGTATGTGTGCGCACATACACACACATGGCATCATCTGCCAACACTTATCTGTGAAGAAATTCCGAATGCTCTGACAAGTGGCACAATCGCATGCCGGCCGTGGTAGGCTGCCATGCTAACCTGAGAGCGATTGAAGCAACGGGAAGTAGAAAACCGATGGGAGGGGACATCCTGATGGAAGGGGCGGTGGCCAAAAGAATCATTTCAGTTCTTGCCATCAGGTGTGACAGAGATGTCTAAGCCAGGCACGGGCATTGCACCAAAAACGTCCCTCTTCTGGAGGTCTGCGTCAAAGTTGCACAAAACTTGTACCACATCCTTGGAAACTCATCAAAAATTGGCGAACGTCCTTGTGGTGTCACCGGATGTCACCAGTAAGCAACTGATGTTTCCATTGAGCCCGTGATGCAGTGCTTGGGGGCATCCAACGTTACCTGAATTGCCTGAGGCCTCCTGCTGGGTTGTTTCGCATGCAAGCGAAATGTAATGGCGTGAAGCCACAGCTGGAAGAATTCCTCAGCGGTATGGAACTCAGCAGGAGGCTTAGTACTAAAACACCCACAGCTTTTTAGGAACACAAGAAGAGCAATGGGTGTGGAGCATTCACAATCACTTTGACTGCTAGGACTGAGAACGACTATGTTTGAGAGAAGTTGAAAACACCCTGATTCAACCTTACTTCAGAAAACATCAGCAAATTTCCTCCCAAAAAAAAACGAAGTTTGAATCTGCAAAAATTGGATGCATTTGGGCACGTCATTTTTTTGAAAGTCATACGCATTAGACAGTACGGACCGTTGTATTTTCAACTTGAACAATGAGTGCAAGGGCAAACGCTTTGGTGTTTGAGTTTCTTCTCGGTCTTTGTATTCATGGCTGCTTGTTTGAAATGTATTTTCCATGCATGGTGTTTCCGTTCCTCTTCGTCCAAAAATTGGAAACTTGGGCAGCGCTTCCCCCACAAGGCCCGGCCCTCTGTGGTGTATATTGCCTCTGCCCCTATGCTACACACAGAAGTCCGGAAAACAAGCTTTTCTCGCGCCTACTGTGCGGTCAGGACGCAGTCATTTCAAAACGTGAGCAGTGAGTACTGCAAGCCCGTCGCGAGGCTTTTCAATAGATTTTGGAGGCTGAGGAATCACAAAACACAGGAAGCAAGATGGACAACTGACAAAATCAAGTTTGAAAAGTTTGACAAGTGAGAAAACATGTCATAAGGGACCAACGTAGAAAGCTGTCCAGGACAGGCCACGAATTTCAAGGAGAGCAAATTCAGATAAGTAATGATAAGTATGCGGCATTCTGTTTTAAAATTACACTGCCGCCAACGATAGTTGCACTCGAAGGCTTTGCCAATCTTCCCAGTGCATCATTGTGGTACAAGACAATGCAATACGACTCAATACGATACAGTTCGATACAACATGTGTTTGGTACATCTTGGTACTGATGCTGTGTCAATTCAGCACTCTTCTCTCACAGCGGATTCTTTTGGCAAGGACATGTTGTTTAGCAAGGGCTCTAAAAGAATGAATGAGTGAGTGCGTTTAGCAATGTGAGACAGTGCGAGTGGGCGCAAGGGCGTAGATAGGCGGGTATGCATGAATGCACGCGAACGCATGCAAATGACCGCAGGAGCGGGCATCCCAATGTGAAGCCTTCTTCTCTCTTTGTATCCCTTTGTCTGACTTCCCTTTAGATCCTATTTAGTTTTCCCCTCGTTTTTATTGAATCCTCTCATGGGCAGCTTCCTCTTCCCTCTTGCGGCCCTGAACTATCCCTAGTCTTCCTTTGCCCGTCATCTTGACCGTAGATGACAGGGATGTTGAGCTGGCCTAAGCGTTGGATTCTCTTCGGATCTCTTCGGACATTCACTTCCTCCATCCTCTTCCGCTATTTCTTGCGTTCCTCATGTTGCTCTTCCCTTGAGCCAAGCTCATTGCACAATCCCACCAGGGACGCATTTGCAGCTGGCCCAACTTTAGGGTCTGGATGGATGTGGGTATGGCCCATAGCACAGTAAGGGTGATTCACTTTGAAACTGTGCGCTCTGCATGCACTACGGCTTAAAACAACTTGGCATTTGAGAGTTACTGTTTGCTCTGGTTGTTTGTACTCATGGCTCGTTCTAAGTGCCAAACATGAAGAATTTTGTGTCGAGACTGATCCCTCTGTGGTCTTGTGGTCTGGTGTTGTGTTGTGGCCAATCGTGATTGCATCGGTGTTTCGCCATGTTCCCCTATCTTACATACACAAGAAGACAAGTAGTACCGCAAGGAAGGTTTACTTTCAAAAGTTGAGGAATGAGTGAACAGAGTTTGGTGTTGTAATCACTTTTTTTTTGCAACTGTTCTTTCTACTCATGGCTCATTCAAGGTGTACGCTTCAAATATCTTCAAATAGTGTTGTATTCTTTAATGTTCCTTTCATTCACCTTACTCCATCACAACATCGACGAAACGAAACCTGGCTAAATTCCTGGCCCCCCTGTGGAGTGTTTTCATGTGACTCATTGTGTTGATGATGTTGGTGTTTCTCTTGCCTTTCGGGAATAAAATGACCTCATGGAAACAATGACGAGGCTCACATCATGGCAGTGTTTCGTACACGGTATCTTTCCTGACTTGCATAAGGTCAAGGCCTACGGCATTTTTCCCAGGATAGGATGGATAGGAACAAGATGGAACAGGAATGCAATACCTATGTACGAACCCAATGAAACTATTCAAATTTCATCCAATTCCAGTACACAAACACACACATACACAGACACAGAGACATCACACAATCGGATATATTTTTTGTATCCCACAGCCTGTTCGGTTTCTCATCGACGATTGAGTGCAGGGCAGATCCACTCGTTGTTGGCAAAGAAAGCTAACCACGTCCTGTGGCAGTGGTGACTCTTCCAAGTCTCCCAAGCTGGAAAGCGGATGAAAGCACTGCTGTGGCAATGGTTTGCCAACCGTTTGTCATTGACTTGCCACGCTGCATACAAAGCATGCCGAAGCCTGGAGTAATGTCAACGGCCCATCGAGTAAATGTTGGCAAACCAGGCAATCCAATTTCAAGAGGTTCAAAAAATCTATTTTTTGGAAGCAAGGTCTCTCCTTCGGCCATGTTATCATGTTCACATCAACGTAGCCGTGTGAAGCTTTGCAAACATGGCCATGCCAAAAACCGACGCATTACAGGCAAGCTGGGACATCTCTTGACAGGGAATTCGACGGACAGTCAGAACATCCCAAAGTCACGCGCCACCAGAGGAACAAAGTTGAACAAAGGCAAATAGGAAACACACAGGGAATAGCCTGACCCCTCGAACACCAGGGATCTGTTTGGGAAATGAAAGGGGACTGGTCAGGGAACTGGACACAACCATGAACAATGGCAGACCCCAAAAAGACTGTGTGAGCTGTCGCATTATTCTTGCTGCATGCTGCCGAAAGTTGCCTCTTGGTCATTGAAGGCTGCCACGTGCAACGGTGTCATGCCATCACCTTTCAACATGCCAAGTGGACACGACGAGGTGCACAGAACAATACAGAACATGACACACGGATAATCTGGGACGAACTGATAAGCCAAGAGTGCCGTGCCGCATGCTATGTCAGTGCTGACCAAGATCTTTCTACTGCGATGATGTGCTCTGGCAACTACCTTCACGCTTGCATTGCTGTTCTCTCAAAGTTGACTCTGACTTGTCAGAGGTCTTGAAAAAAAACCGCACCCACCTGCAAGTGCTTCCAAATCTGCGCGTGAAGCCCACAGCTTTCGCGCCACGGCCTTCAAATCCGCCAATACTGCCAGAATTCCATCAATTTAGCAGCACGCACACGGACTTACAGTGACTTACAGTGACTTACGCCACATATCGGACATCTTATAAGCTCGGAATAAGCTCGGATGATCTGACGCAGGGCCGCAGGGCTTTTTGTTCGCGTTCGTGGTGGATTGCTGGCAGGATTCATCGCTGCGCTGCCAGGACGCCAATTCGAGATTGGACTTGGCAGGATCTGATTTCCAACGCTGCCAAGATAAAAGCTGACACACAGCCCTGTGGAAGCATGTGGAAGCCATAGAAAACATTTCTGGTTTTCGGCTCAACCTTTGCATTGTGAACTCAATTGACATGGTCTGAGCATGTCTGAATATCATGGGATATCTCTCTTGAATTCTCTTGACATGTTCTTGATCTCTCTTGATCTCTCTTGATCTATGAACTCTGCAGGTGAGGTTTTGACACGGTGCGGTAGACTCAGAGTATCTCAGAGGCCAGGGTAGCCAAACTTGACGGCCCATTCCTCCACCTTGACACGTGCTTCAACGGTTGCACGTGGCAGCAAAATGGAAGGGATTCCGATCCAACATCATCATCACCAACATCATCATGATATCCTAAGAGGTCCTAAAGGATCCTAAAGGCGTCACTTAAACTGTATCGGAATAAGCACAAAAGAAACACTTAAGTCCATATCTCAAGCATTTTATTTTTCACATCGTAGCAACAGTCTCGTTTGACCCCAGGAGTTCCATGGCGTCTTCATTTCGTCGCCTCCTTCTTCAAGGTCTGGACCTCTGCGTATCCTGGGATGGCTGCCTGACGGACACATGTGGATAAATAAACAAAACATTAACGTGAAGCAGTCACCGAACATCACCGAACCATGACTTCAAAGCGAGTCTCTCCACAGTGTGTCAAACACAGGTCCCTGTAGAATCCTGTAGATATGATCTCAACGGATACCAAGCTGCTGCTCAGAAGAGGCATTTCTGCAAAGCAAAACCCTGAAACATCTAGAAACTATCTGTAAACTCAAGTGACTGGAAGTCGGAGCCACAGCTTCCAAGATGTTTGAAGCTACCGCAGCTCCTATCACCCTGTTGTAACCCCTTCAAACCCATTTGTAGAATCTAAATAGACACCCCCCAGGTGTGTGTGTGTGGAACATCTGAAGAGATGTAAAACTTCTACCTTGATTGATGGAATTGCTTTTTCTTATCAGGTTCTTTGCCATTACAATGAACCAGTTTTGAATATTTTACCAGGCGTTTATCCAATCTCCTTTTCAATTGCAGGGGGCGTGACGGTTGATTTCCTAGTCACGCCAACGAAGCTATGGACATCAACTGGATGGAAGTTTGGACGCAAACTTCTGTACCTGCAGTGTCGCTCCTGGGCGCATTCAAGTCGCAGCTGGGGGACACGTCATACTGTGTTTTCTGTTGTTGTTTAACTGCATTGTCAAGTGCCAACCAAACTTCAACCTGAGGTTTCTCACTTCTGATCATTCAATGGCTCCTGTCAAGTTTAATTGGAGTGTTTTTGCACGTAAGATGCATTCCACATCAGAATTCGCAAAGATGTTTCTGAGCAAGTGTGAGATTCATGCTGGATTCGTCAAGGTGGCATAAACCCTTCGGGGAAAGCTTTTCCAAGCTAAGACACTTTTGAATTAGTAATTCGTCTAAGTAACGTGAAACAGCTGGCCATTTTTCGGTTTTCACCCTGTCGACTCTCGTTTGGTTGAACAGCATGCCGCTGTGCCTGGCTTCACCTTTTCTTTTGTCTGAATTTACACTTTTGAATTAGTAATTCGTTTAAGCAAAGTGAACAGCTGGCCATTTTTCGGTTTTCACCCTGCCGAATGTCGTTTGGTTGAACAACGTGCCGCTGTGCCTGGCTTCACCTTTTCTTTCATGAAAAATCAGGCAACAGGACATGCTTTAGGTGTGGTTTTTCTTTCTTTTTATGGTCGTCGGTGAGGTTCAATTGTGCACGTCATTCAGGGGTTGACAACTTAAGCCCTTTAGAGGGTTGTGACATGAAAGCCGAGGGCCTTTGAGCCTTATCACGAAAAATGCACGTAATGTGGATGCATCTTATTTCATCAACTAGTTCCCCATTGGTCCCCTATCTCATGCGCGCTTTCCTCTCTAGGTCAGGTTTGGGTCCTTCGCGTTCCTAGGTAGGCTTTGGCTCTCGCCTTGCAGGTTGTGTCAGGCGCTTCTGTCCTCTGGTTGGTTTTTTGGCCCGTCGTCCGTCCGCTTTTTCTTTTTCCTTGCCCTTTCAGGGTTTGCCCTTTTGGGCCAGGTGTGTTGGTGTTGGTGTTCTCTCTTTTTCCTTTTCCTTTTTGCGTTCCCCCTCTTGTGTTCCGGTTAAGTAATTGTCATCTCATTTTCATCGTCATCTCATTTTCATCTTTCCTTCATCTTCACCTTCATCTCATTCGTCGGGGCCTTAAAAAGCCTCGCGGCAGCGGGGCGTGTGTGTGGAACATCTGAAGAGATGTAAAACTTCTACCTTGATTGACGGAATTGCTTTTTCTTATCAGGTTCTTTGCCATTACAATGAGCCAGTTTTGAATATTTTACCAGGCGTTTATCCAATCTCCTTTTCAATTGCAGGGGGCGTGACGGTTGATTTCCTAGTCACGCCAACGAAGCTATGGACATCAACTGGATGGAAGTTTGGACGCAAACTTCTGTACCTGCAGTGTCGCTCCTGGGCGCATTCAAGTCGCAGCTGGGGGACACGTCATACTGTGTTTTCTGTTGTTGTTTAACTGCATTGTCAAGTGCCAACCAAACTTCAACCTGAGGTTTCTCACTTAGGTTTAATTGGAGTGTTTTTGCACGTAAGATGCATTCCACATCAGAATTCGCAAAGATGTTTCTGAGCAAGTGTGTGTGTGTGCGCCTCAAAGTCCTTCAATTTTTTGCCCTTTTCAGATTGGATCTTCAGAGCGATCTGACAGCAGCGGTCCAAGAACTCACCGATCTTCTTGAAGTCCTGAAATCTGCAAATCCCCTTCAAAGCCAGCATAAAGCTGACAAATGTGCACAGGATTCACACGATTCACCCACATTATCCCATATTCGCAATATTTGCAGCTTCATTATTGTTTTTACGTGACAAATGTTTTCTACATATTCAAACCTGCTGTTCCAGTCAGGTTCCAGTCCTCCTGAGTGCACCCTCGGGTGGTCATGGCCGGAGCCCCGACTCGCACACCACCGGGACTCAGGGCCGAGGCATCACCTGGCAGGGAGGGCCACCTGCACCCGGAACATATGGGTTCCATGTATCGCACATTGATCTGTTGGGATTGGAATGCCAAGTCTTCCCTGATGGACAAGGCTGCCCTGCAATGAGTACTGAGAGCACTGCACACTTTGGCACGTTTATTGCATCCTTTTACAAAGTCATCGCAAATGTTCACAGAAAACTGTCTGAAACAGCTATCTTTTCAGTGGTTTACCAGCGGTACTCCCATGTTTCGCATGGCTCAGTGGTTTCCCAATCTGGCCCCACCGTGCACAGCGTTGCGGTTCAAGGTGATAGAGGCAGCTTCACCTTGGAACTCGATGAGTTGAACGTCTTGAATCTGTGAATCACTTGGCCACGTGATGTGATGGATGTCATGGACTGAAGTTGAGACCGAACAGGGCGTAGCGGGATTACCCATTAGAAATTGCTGAAAACTTGAAAACAAATGAAAACAATGTCAATCTATGTCAATCTCATATGAATAAAGAAGCACTTGTCGAGACCAGTCGCAGATCTTCTCCACCTTTGAACCTGCACAAACTCACATCCGGTTTTGTAGTTTTTGAAGCTTGGCAAGAACCCCTGGGTTTCAATTGGCCATTAGTTGAGCATCTGACAAGAAAACACAAGAAACATGAAGAAACTGCGTGAATTCCACTTCTCTGCTCCAACATTTGATTTCCCTCAACCATCTCAACCCAAAGCATACGCAGCGTTCCTGTTCAGACTCACTATGCTTCCGCCGTTCCGCCCGTCTCAAAGAATGAGTTTAGCAATGCAAAAATCGTGTTGGAAAAAGAGCGAAACAGATCAAGTCACAAGATCTTTGCAAGCCACGTTCATGCAGGCACTTGGTTTACAATGCTGAATTGCCCCAGAAGTGAAGAAGTTAAGTGTTGCGGGTGGCGCCGCAACACTTAGCCTTGCAACATCATGGGTACAGTCTACAAATGGCTGAAATGCATCGTTCTATAGATTCTATATGATATTATATGATTCATGATTGATTCATTTTGAGTTCTGTATGTCAAATTCTGGCATGCCGACGTCGCCTGTGAGACCATGGGGTCGCAGGTCCCAAAGCAGAAGGTGGTTGTCCGTGCCTTGGTCTTCCATCTCCATCTAAACATACGGTAAGCGTTCCGGTAACCGTTCCGGTAACCTGTACCTAAACCATCTACAGCTGAACCAAATTTAACCAAATCAACTTGCAATAAATTTCAATAAGGTCGATTATTGATGATTATTGTTTGACTATGATTGACTTATAGGTCCATGAATGTCCATGATCTATTGATAGGTTGAGGACTGCGACTTGCACATCTTGCACCTGGGGAGTGCACCATCCGAAGCCAACTTGTGACCTTTGCCCATCAAAGTGTCAGCCAGCATCTTGGCATTGGCTTTCACCTGAGCAGATCGCAAGATCTGAGCTTGGAGAAACATGGAGAAACTTTGATCGAAACAAAACGATCCAAAAGTGATGGCTTTGACTTGGATTGATATGGCTTTCTATGGCTTTCTTGGATTTTCTTGGTCGGTTTCAACAGAAAACTGACTGCAAACTGCAGCAACCCCTTCTGGTCCGACCTGCTTGGCGTACTCCTGGTGACAGTTCATGAAAACTTTGAGGATGGCTTGACAATGGTGAAACATCAAGAAGAAACATGAAAACCGTGGTATAGTCCTAGTAAATAGTCGATTTCAAGTACATAGAAATACACTGAGCTATGTGAATCTGATGCTGAGGTGTGGAAATACTGATCAGAATCGAATGATACAGAATTAAAATGAATTATACATGATCATATGGTGATATTTCGATCTGGTTCACACCGAAAGAATACACTCCAGACTGGCGAAGTGGCCGACTCAGCTCCACTCCTTGAACATTGGGCTGTCCACCTCCAGGAGCTGCACGGCCAAAGCGCCGATTTGGTGATTGTGGGGTCCACCCTGGCGGCTGCCCATGAGATACGCGCCACCAAAGTGACACCAAGTCCCCAGGATCAAAGTCACACAGTCACACGCAAAATTATGCACATGACTACCATGACTTTGTTGGATCACCACGCACACCACTTTTGTTCTCCATGTCTTTTCGTACCTTTTCATACCTTTCCTGTCTCATGCCTTTCAGATTCCATGTCTTTCCAGAGAACTGAACTTCAATGAAACAGAAATGGATCGGTGCCTGCAATTCTGGGAAGACGGCCATGTCGATGCGCTCCTTGATGTCCGGAATCTTCTCCTCTTGATGTCAACATGTAACTGACTGATACTGATTGAATTGCAAAATGTACATAGCCACAAAGATCCACAATGTTCCGCATCTTGCTGGACAGGCTCAGTGAGCAAATCTATCATGCATTCTCATGCAGTAAAACCATCAGATCAAACTCTATCGTGCGAAATGGCTGTTTCAGCAGAAGGGAATCATCAGATTTGCAATGCATGACCATCACTGCACAGTAGCTTGACTTAAAATCTTTATAGACATTCCACTGCAAAGAATTTAAACCTTGGGCCATGTGTATCCACTTGTATTCCATTTGTTGTCTCTCGATGTCTCTCACCATCTTCCGCCCTGATCATATGCCCCTAGCATGCCCCAGCCGTCCGAATATTTGAAGAAGATCATGCCAGCACGTGGCCCTCGCAAGGACTTGTGCGTGGTGGTCGTCACCACATCGCAATGTTCGAAGGGACTTGGATGTTCTCCAGTGGCCACGAGGCCACTGATGTGCGCAATGTCTGCCATCAGAATGGCACCCACCTACAAGGTGACTGGGAGACCCAGTGCAAGGTGATGCAAGGTGACAATATGTGACAATGGTTTCAAAAAAAACAAATGAAATGACATATTAATAATACATAATTAATAGATTTTATAAATCAAATCAAATGAACGCTTTTGCTTTTATGATTGACAAAGCAAAGGTTGACAGCCACAATTGAGATCCGCCAAAAAAATCCAAAAACTTCTATGGTTCTTATGTGCATCGCTCTCCTTAGCCTTAGATCTCCTTCTCCTCTAAGTAGCACAGTATCATACAGTATGTATCTGTTGCGAGTTGGTAATGCATCTGACATTTGCCCACTGCAAGAGATCACTCCATGTTACACACTTTCCACATTAATCACTGAGAGTCTGACTCATATTGTCAGTATGACATCATATTATCATATCATCATATTGCCTCTTCGCGCAAACTGAGTTGAAGAGTCTCCACGACATTTGCATCGGACCTCGTCCGCGATGCGGCGGAACTGAGCGAAGTCGATGATGCGCGGATAGGCGGAAGCACCGCACAAGATCATTGCTGGCCGGAAGACCAAAGCTGTCTTTCCTGGGGCGTGAAACCGGAAAAACTGGCATGCCAGAGACACATGAAACCATTCACCCCCGGCATCTATGACATGTCGCAACATGTTATCACTAGCTCAGTTTTGAATCAAGACCCGTTTTGCCAGATCTACAAATTATACAAAATCTTAATTACTTTGTAATACATTCTTGCAAGGCCAACATATTTTTCCTGTGATCCACGAATCCTTGGGAGGGCTATTGGGACGGGAATGGGACCTGGGTATTTCTTGGTCACCGAGCATCGGAGCTCATCAAAGTCGATCAGCCCGGTCTCAGGATGCACTCGATACGGCAAGGACTCGAAGTAGATCGAAGTGGCGCTGATCTTCCTGACACACAAGGCACACACTTCTCCTCAAACAACGACCATCAAAGACCCAGCGGAGCAAGGAAACAGCAAGCTATTGCTAGTGGTGGAATTTGCCACAAGGTCCATGAAAATCCACAAGACATCACAAGACATCACAAGACATGTTCCAGATTACCGAGGGCAGCACTTCTTGGCGGTGTAGTAGCCATGTGTCAAGTGTCCACCCGATGGTAAGTCCAATCCCATGACTCGACTGTGCGGCGGCAGAAGTGCTGTGTAGACCTGGCCATGAAAACCGCTGTGCGGTTCGAATTCACAAAGTTACCATAAGGTTACCACTCAGAAATATTGAAGCACATGCGTCCACCTTTGCGAAGACATTAAAACATATTCGCTGCAACCCTGATGCTGCGCCGCGTCTGACTTCAGGTGGCTATGAAGAACAAAAATGATGTTTTTACTCCAATCAACAAATTGTTCACAGGGGGTGGGAAATTTTGATCCCTTATGAAGATAAAGTTGATGTTATTACCCCAACCAACATATTGTTCATATAGGGGGCGAAATTTGATCCCTAATGGGGGTATAGTTGATGTTGATGTTATTACCCCAATCAACATATTGTTCATAGAGGGGGCGAAATTTGATCCCTAATGGGGGTATAGTTGATGTTGATGTTATTACCCCAATCAACATATTGTTCATAGAGGGGGCGAAATTTGATCCCTAATGGGGGTATAGTTGATGTTGATGTTATTACCCCAATCAACATATTGTTCATAGAGGGGGCGAAATTTGATCCCTAATGGGGGTATAGTTGATGTTGATGTTATTACCCCAATCAACATATTGTTCAGAGGGGTTGGCGAATTTGAATGTGATGATGTGATGATGTGATGATGTGATGATGTGATGATGATGACGATGACGATGACGATGATGATGATGATCATCATCATCATCATCACCATCATGATTGTAAGCGTGGAGCAACGTCCGAGTTGGGGCGAACGTATGATAACACATTTAAACATGAATAATTCTGTACCTTATCTACCTATGTCAATAGATGTCAATAGATAAACAGAATGAACATGGGTGAACATGGAAACATATATTGAAACATGCATATTTATCATATTGAATAGTATTGTATCCTATTTTATCATATTATATCATTTGGGAGAACCTATTTTTTTTTGATGAAAGCAACTTGTCTCCAACGGCTCTGCGAACGGCTCGTTCCCAACGGCTCCGCCAACTCTGCCGAGGTGCAGCGAAGTTCGCTGGGCTTCCACTGTAGGGCTGGACGTTCACACCCCAGTCCTCACGTGGAACGGGCCTCCAAGTAGCATTTATGTCTAAGATGTGTAATATATATATAATACCTGAGAAGGGAGGAACGAAAGCCAGGGGTATCCCCATTAGTGGGTAGAATGATGCCATGTCATTGTATATATGATATTCTGGTAATCGTGCTATGGCTTACACAATAATAGTCATCCTCGCATCAAACATGATGAAATTCATCCCTTTGACGGGCATGCAAAAGGAAGATCCTGTGACCATTGCAATTTGGATCTCATGTTTTCAATCTGTTTTTGCGTGAATTTACTTCCATTTTCACCTTTGTGCGCCAACATGTTACTTTGAAATATGGAGCTCCTGGTTGATGTTACTCGCCAGAAAAAGTTGTCAGTGATGCTGACAGTCTTTCTTTTGCCAACTGATGAGCGTTCCAGGCCATTATGTACCTCCTCCACGGTACTTTTGGTGGTTAATTGTTGTGCGAGCTGGTATGTCTACGCCTTCAAACCTCGCATTATGCGCTAGCCCTCCTTCCTCCGTCACACAAACACCTTCCCATCTGACAGCACATTGCCCGACAAAGACCCTCGAGCCGGGCGACTTTTGTCCTTCCTCCACCAACATCGACAGCAGTGGCAAAAGGCGCCTTTACCCTTACCTGTCCTATCTGTGCTAGCACTCCTTCCCCCTTCTCGCAGACATCGGCTCCTCTGCCAAGCACCCCAAAAGGCTCCCCAAAATGCGGACCTAGGGGGAATCGATACCCTACCGTCACCCTTTTGCCGCATGGTACATGACCCGGCAAAACGCTCCCAAAACACACCCTTCCCCCCAAGTAATAGCGAGATTTTGGCTCACTTGGGCAAGCCCTCCCCCCAGACCCCCTTATACTCACTTCGTTCGCAGACAGCAACGATCCAGCTAGCTGGCTTTCGTAATATACAAGTATATATATATATATTATAATCACATATATATAATATCTTTATATTATATCTTTATATGCTCTTGTAGCGGCTGTTGAGGTTCATCCCTGACCATTTTATAAACCTGACAAGCTGGATGCCACACAACAACATTAGCTGTGCAAATCTGCCGAAACCATGAAGCTGAAGCCGTGATAATATTTGGAGGCCAGATCTCTCTAGATCTCTCTGCACCGTTGATTTCAAGGCATGATCTAAAAGGAACTCTCATCTAGTAGCCGAAACTGCGATCATTTGCGATCCATGCAGCATAGCCTTCTCATCCAGATTGAAGGCTTTCAACGCACGAGACTTGCACAGATTCTCCACCTGTGAAAGCAGAAAATGTTCTCACAAAGGAAATAAGAAGGTACCATGCTGCCCTGCATGCTGCCCTGTGATTGCCAGACCTTCTCCGTTGGTCACAGCGCGCCACAACCGGAATCAAAATCTGAGTCACAGCTCAGCAGCTCCGCGCTGTGCCTTGTCGATAACCTCATTGCCACCGTAGTAGCGATTTCCTGGCTGGCCCTCGGAATACCTAAGGGAACAAAGACCGACAAAGACGGTCCCGCTAAGACAAAAAAGTGAGCAGAAAGATCTGGAAAGCAATGCTTGAAGGGTCGCTCCAGACAAAAAGGCAATTCTGCCAAACATTCCCAGCAAGGCCTGAAGTGTTTCCGTTTATGATATTCCTGCTATTTCCTGCTTCTCAACTCTTCAAATGTAAGGCTTTGTCACAACTGAGGCACTTGTTGGTCAATGCAGAGCCCAAGCACTCCTCATACAGAGATGAATGCTTACGTCACTCAGACTGTTTAAGATGCACAAGGACAAAGGGTGACAAAGGCGCTTTTAACGCGGCAGGTCATACGTCCGTCATTCCACCTTGCCCTTGCCTTGCATCACAAATCTTCACAGATCTTTACAGATCGCTCTACCATGCTCTGCCATCTTTTCATCTGTCTTTTCACCGGTCTTTTCATCGGTCTTCCAAGTTTCCATGACACCGCGGCTGGTGAAATTCTCTGATACAATGAGCTCGATGCATCGCATCTGGCGGTTCTTCTCCTAGCCCAGCATTGGCAACTTAGAGTTCACTGATTGCTGCACCAAGTTTGGGATGATTTAGGTTGGGCCAAAATCTCGAAGTCCAAAGAAACCCACCAACGACATGTAACATCATGTAACATAATGTAGCCGTTTAATAAGAAACATTAGGGTTCGGCACACTCAGCATCTTTGCGTGACACCAACTTTCCTGCTGCACCAAGTCGTGCATAGTAGGATCCACTTCCAACAATGGGCGGTTGCCAGGCAATGCTGGGCGATTCACCACCTCCAGGGGCGATCGACACTGATAGTCTCCAGCTTCAACCCTTCAGAGTGTGATGGAAAAAACATGAAACAAAGGAGCGGCCAAAGAGCGTGTATGTATATTGTTATATTATTATATATTTACAGATGTGTTATGTGTATATATACATATCATGATGCAATGTACATCAATATAAAATACTATCATACATCTGTTATCATCTAATTCATCTATGAATCGAATCTATGAAACAAACAGTTTGGTGCTTTTGAATGCTTTTGATCGTGACATCTTCGATCACGGTGTGTGCCTTGGTGCCCGTGGTGATGCCTTGAGCGGAGACCATAAACTTGGCATCTGCTTCCAACTGCTGGAACTCTGCTGCTTGCTTGTCCTGGAGACAAGCTGGAGACAAGCTGAAGCTAGATCAGTTGGTTCAAGGCGTTACAACATGTTACAAAATGTTACAACATGTTACAACTCCCAAAAAACATTGAGTACAAAGATATATGATAATATACCAGAACATCCAAGATTCATGGGCACAACTGCAGTTCAAAACCATATTTGAGCCAAGCGGCAGAAATCTTGCCCAAACCTTTGAGGATGCCGACAACAACCTGTTGCGAGCCATCCAGATCTGAGACAGAACTGTTCATACCAAGTAGTTCAATGGACTGCCATACTTTAAACATCACACAGCGTTGCCTTCTCCAAGTTCAAGGTGTAAAAGTGCAGGCCTGGTGAAAGTTGGGGCACGGGCGCATGGGATCTGACTGTATCTGGACAGCAAAAAAGGATGTAACCTTTGTGCCTCATATTTTTCGTTGCACACAGAAACTCGTGAAGTACGAGAGTAGAGTTATCTGTGAATATATATGTATATATATATATTAATATATAGTACATAGATATTCTTGTCTGGTATATTCATGTGGGAAAATTTGGGTAAGCTTTTGTGTCCCAATGCTGTGCTCAGCTCTGCCTGGTGCGCCACCCTCCAGAAGCTTTTTGCACATGTCGACTCCTTCCTCCAGGAATGTTGATAATGGCGAATCACACATATGAAAAGTCGAAACTACACATTTAATTTGGGGCGATTCACCCTGCAAGTGAAATCACATTGAAAAAACACATCACGCTGCAAAATCGTAACAACGAAAGTAACGAAATACAAAAAAAACTGTTTTCAGTTCAGTGTGGGGAACATGGGGGTTCAACACGATTCAACCTGTGGCGTCCTGGATGCCGAAGGCTTTGAACGCCTCATCGGAGGTATTGGCCTTGTCGTCAACTCCAATGGACAACTCAATGTTTTTAACAAACGCCTGGGCCTGATTCTGCATGTTAGTTGAGGTTGGATGATGTTGGATGTAGATGCAAGATAAATCAAGATTATGTAAGCTGTGCGGAGAGAAACCAGAATGAGAATACCACGCGTCAAACGCTTCAATTCATGTTCATTTTCCCACCTGCTCCGCGCGCTCCATCAAACCCTCTGGCAATCTGGTCTTGCAAAGCTCGGTCATGCGCTTCAAACCGCCTCCAGATTCGAGGAATCCGAACCAAAGCATTCTTTCTCAAAACTCCAAGCCCTTTGAAAAAAAGCAATGATGTTTTTATATGTTTTTATTGTTTGTATATTATATTATGTGGTACTTTTTTCTGTTTTATTGAGAGCCTTGTGGAGGAGTTCTGTTTCACGTTCTCAACAGCTTCAGCAAATTGTTTGTTGGTTTGTTGAGCAGAGCTGGTCTTTGGAACTTTCAACTGCGATGCCTAGGCCATTCAAGCACATGATTCCAGGCACGATGGGCACATGGATCTCATACTTGCGGCACTCCTAGAAGGGAGAGATTCAATTCTGATAAATTTTGATGGAGGTACAGGCCTCGCATTAAGCGGACCACATTTCTTGATGCGAACAGAAACCAAACCAGAAACTAAAGTATAGTATAGACATGAACATGAAAACAAAACATAGAAATTTATGACCGTGAAATACCGTGAATTTGTTTGCACTTCTGCGATCTTCGAGGACTCTTCCTCAGGCAACTTTGGACTCCTGGACAAAGTCAAGGAAGACCTGAGCGTCGAGAAACATCTGAGTGATGACGAAGGCAGCGCCAGCATCGACCTTTTCCTTCAGGTAGACCATCTCCTGGTGCCACAGGGCGACAGATGGCAATGGCCACGGATTGCGAGCGATAGCGACGGTTGCCATGCAAATTTAAAGCATCATGCAGTCAGATTCTGTCAGCGATATTCAGCGATCACAAACTCTTCCAATCTCATGACCACTTAATTAGTGGGACAACTGCGAATCAGTGAAGGCATTACTGGATTGGGATATGTTTTTCTTGTGTGTCTTCCTTTACACTGTACAGGTCGAAGCAGCTGGAGGCATTCCCAGACATCTGCAAGGTGTCATCTGTGCTACACTCTCGCGAACATCTGGGAATTTGTAATGATTGTCAATTCCCATCCAGTTGATGGGTCAAAAGTTGCAAGATAAAGTCATACATGCGCAAGCACACTCTGTTGGTTGCTTGAAGCAGTTAAAACTTCAAATCCACCTTCCTTGCCTTTCGCTTAGCGCCACAAAGCGCAGTAGCGACCCCCGTAGTAGTAGGCCCACCTCAAGCAGTAGCCGCCGTAGTAGGGCCTTGGTCGGTAGTAGGGCCTTGGTCGGTAGTAGGGCCTTGGTCGGTAGATTGGTCGTCCCCAACGTCCAGGTCGTCCCCAGCGTCCAGGTCGGCGTCCCCAGCGTCCAGGACGCCCACCCCAGCGGCGAATCAACGACGCGGGCGCCGGGACTCTAGCTGCACTGGCTGTGGCAGCCGCGGCAGCCGTGGCAACTGTGGCAGCTGCAGCCTGCGCCTCTGCTGGGGCGGTCTCTGCGTCAACCTCTGGGACAACCACACCCACCTCATCCGGGCCACCCTCAAAGCCTTCCTCATAAGCAGCAATTGCGGCATCAACGTCTTCCCAATAGGCTTGTTCATCAATCCCAGGCCCATATTCAAATTCTTCTTCTTCCTCCAAGGGATCATAGTGTAGGGGATGTTCTGCCTCAGGCTCGCCGACAGCAGATGAATCCTGCGGTTTCACAATGTCTTGCTTGGCAGGTTCTTTAGCAACTGCAGCATCTTTACCAGCTTCCTGCTCAGCCTGCTCAGGTGCCTCGTTCTCAGCGCCCTTGGCCACTTCAGGTTCTTCGGCCACTTCTCCCACCTCAGGCTGGGGTACCTGCGCTGCCTCCTTGTTCTCCTTGCGTGTTGGCACATCAGGTTCTTTCGCCACTGTTCCCACCTCAGCACGCGGCGCAGCTGGCTCAGCTGGTTGCTGCACAGGCGCAGGGGTCACTGCCTTGTCGCCGCGCAGATGGTTATCTGCCAAGCAAACAGAGACAGCCCATGCCAGGCAAAACACTTTCATCATCCCCTCGGCAGTCGCACAGCTTATAGCAGCTTACAACAGCTTTGGGAAGTGGAACAAAGATAACAAAGGCCTAAGCCAAAATTGCTACGGAGGCTTTGAGTCGGTGCAGGTGATGCGGTGCGTCGACATCGTCGACACATGTCCACAATCCAGTACTCACTCATTGAACAGCTCAAGATTCTATCAACTAATGCTGGGTCCTTGTGGAAGTTTGCATCTCGGCAAACCTGGTGCGACGACATTGAAGGGACCCACCGTTCAAATGGGTTGGGTCCGCCCACTTTGATGCTTCAGAAAATGCAAAAATTCCCAGGGTTGCCTACCTAACCCTCACTCATCACGTCTAGCTTACAGCCGTATTTGGCCAGGAAATCTAAACACAAGTTTGGTTCCAAGAACGAGCATTGGAGCTTGCTCAGGTCCCTGTTTGCTGAATTCTCCCAAAATGGAGTCTGAATTTTCGAGATGAATGGCATCAATGGCATCAATGGAAAGGCAAACCTGAATTTGTCACTGTCAAGCTGTCCTCCAGGTCAAACAGGTCAAACAATGGTCAAACATGTCAAGCAGGTGAATGATGTGAATGTCAGAGAACGGAATGTGTTTCTATGATTTTCTATGTGTTTCTTGTGTTTCTTTTGGCTCTTTTGGCCAAGAAGCTGTGACCACGGTCTTGCCCTCAGCGTTGGGCGCCACGCGGGCACGACGCTTCTCTGAGGCAGTCAAGCTATCGATGCCACCAGGGATCTCTTCGATGTTGTCAGGGTGTCCTGCGCACGAGTCCCACACATTGCACATCAATAGCCAGGATGGCTCAGCTTTGTTTCGTTTTCTGAACTTAGAGCTCAACTTCATCTTTGATCACTGCCAAGACTAATCTTTTTTTGCCCTTGGGTGCTTGATTTCGGGCCTTCAGGGTACCCCGCCACAGAGACGCAGAAGTAGTCACCGAAGTTCTTGCGGATGAACCTCGAAAGTGAAAAAACTGGATCAAGCTTCGAGACATTTCCTCCAAAAGCATGAACACGTTCGAATTCCATAGTGACTCTGTCCTTGATGCGCAAAAACGATCAAATATGAGTCCTTCATCCCACACCTTAAGTGGCTGCATTCTTGGGCTTTCAAAGAGGTTTTTACTTGTAACGTGCAATTTGAGAAAAGATTGGCAACAAAGACTTTTTCATCATATGTTATGTATATTAAATTATTAATATATTGATACATAGATTATACATAGCTCAATTTATTCTAAAGCCTGGTACCTAACACCATCTTCTTGGCTGAGAAGCTTGACCAGATCTAAAGCACTGCTGAAACCGCCCTCCGTGGCGGTCCATTTCTCTTGCCCTGGGCCAGAGTGTGATATGAGAATCAAAGGTGTATTCTACACAGAACCGGTCAGAAAGCATCAAACGCTTGACATGGGTTGATCTCTTCCTGATCCTCCAGAATCTTGATCCCTTGAATTCCCTTGAATTCCCTTGTAGCGATCCCCGCCTCGTGGAGGATCGCCACGCAGTGCCACAATGTTTCGCACACCAAGCCTAGTGCTGCATCGGTGCTGCATTGGTGCTGAGGAAAGAGGCCGACTTCAAACAAGGACAACTGGATGAGCAACGGGACCCCTAGAACAATGTGACAACTCAAAGCCACTCAAAGTCACGTCTGCCAATTGATCTCGTCAATTGATCTCAAAATATGCAGTAAACTCCGACAAGGTGCTGTTTGCAGTCCTTCAGAGCATTCTCTGTCATCCTTAGTGAACACGGACTGTTTAAAGCTACAAAGGACTGGGAGCAACCTGTCCAAAATTATTCAAATCTGTTCAAGCATCTTAAGCAAAGGTCTGGGCTACTGTACTAATCCGTGCTATACAAAGGACCAGAAGTCTTCTCAAAGTTCATCAGCGCCATCTTGGGCGTTTTGGATTCAGAGCTGGACCTACTTTTCCTGTCGAAACAGCAACATGTCTGTTGCAAGAGGATCAAGAGGGTAGACTTAAGGGGTCTGGGAAGCACATACAAATCTTCTCACGTCCTGATTTCCCAGTAGATTGTCATATTGTTGTCATATAATTGTCACCTGCATATGACATTAGTTCCAGTGAATTTGACATAAGTTGACATCGTTTCCACCTCGGATCTTCCAGTTGAGCTGCTCAGAGCTCTGGTTCGTGCAGGTCAGATGCATGTTGGCAACGCATCCGAACCTTACATGTAGCCATGATGAGCCATGCAACGCGCAACGCAAACTTTTGTCATCCTTTATCACCCTTTATACAATATCTTTATGCAATCTTCCGTCACCTACAACGAAAATGCACAGTGTCTGCTTTGGCTTCTTGGGTTTATTTTGTATTGACAGAATTGAGCATAACATTTTTCAGCTTCGGCGTTGCCATCAGCACATTTCCTCCATTTTCTCTCAAAGTCTGCCCCCACAGAAAGCTGTTTGTTTCACTTCGTTTCATGTGGAATTGCCACATCCTTATTCGCAGCGTTCACAACACAGTCACTACACCAGTCAAAGACATGCAAAGACCTCCACAGTCCCAGAATGCTGGAGTGATCCGAGTGGCTCGTTCTTGGCCGCGCTGGTGAGTTTCAAGGTGAGCTCCGACGTAGAGCCGCCCGCACCCCAGGTGAAGTCTGTGAAGAGTGGCCCCAAGGCCTCGTCAAGTTCGTCAAGTGCTGCAAAGTCACAGAAATGCCGACCAGGTGTGACAAATGTGACAAAGCGTCATGCATCGGCAATGCATGGGCAATGCGTGTCAGGCATTGTCAGGCCACAGAAGCACACAGAAGTTTACTTTCACAAACCCTTGCGATACGACTTTATAGACACTTGAACAAAACTGAACCATTATATACAATGTTAATCAATATTATACATTTAATTCATTGATGTGCCATGTGCCTTCATCTTGACAATTCTCTTTCGCAAGTTCTCCACCCCCTCTGCGGTCTTTGGTGGGAAGTACTCGAAGGAGAACCAGCCTCAGGAGT